AATCCGAATTCCAACATAGATGTCAACCCATACAGTGAGTGAACTGGAATCACAGAGGCGTTCTCAGTGTTCGCCAGTCACAGGGTAGAGCATAGGTGATAAAAACCACTTGCCTGCTACTACAAACTGCAGAGACAAGTTGGGACTGGCTAGAGTAAACTGTATTCTTCTTTCCCCAATAGTCTCCCCCCAATAGGCACAGACTAATTTAAAAAGACTGCAATGCCTCTTTATTCTCAAAAAATTAAAATACAGGAATTCTCTGAAGGGAGAAGAATCTGAAGATTTTTAAGAGAACGGCTACTAAAAGTCCCACTAGGACCCTCTTTAAGCTAATCCCACTTAAGTGGAGAGGCAAATAGCCCCCACTGGCATTTATATTTAGAATGGGCTGGGGGAGAGCAAGAACCCACATTTGAGCACTGAAGGTCTCTGACATAACCATATATAAATCATTTCAGGGTGAGGCTGTCAGAGTGCATCTTCTGTTCTGCCCTTTAAATGGATTGGACCCCAACATCACATTCCCCTCAGGGTATAGGGAGTGAGGGTGGGAGTTTCATGGAGAACAAAGAAGTCACCACTTCCCTTATCCCCCCACTAAAGACAGATGTAGTAAAAATACCTGCATTGTAACATTCACCCACTTTAAAATACCGAACTGCAAACAGGTAGACTGAACGATAATGTTTGAGAGTCTCTAAATCTACACAGAGATATAACTATTAAAAAGAACATGGAAATTAATTAAAGAAAGGCTAAGTGTGTGATTGCATTTACATGTGCTTTCATTTGGAAAGCTACATTTATTTAGCAATTGCATCCTTACAAACAAATCTGAATAACAGGGGCAGTTCTAATTTTTTTTATCATCTACCAAGTCAGTTTTAAATTTAAAAAAAAAAGATTTATGGTAACTGAAGAGCACACAAATCACATACCAACAACAAAAAAAAACAGCTATTTTATCCTTTCAGTGTGGTTAGCAAGGCTCCTTTGTGTCTACAAATTTCCCTGGGTGGTGCTGTTGCCAAGAAATTCTAATTCATGACAAGGTTTTCTGCAAATTGGGGACAGAGACAAACCTGCAGATGCAGGGACCCTACAGTTTGCTTTGTCTTTCTGGCTGAGACAGCACCTGGTTGCTCAGGCCTGTAGAAGGCAAAGCAAAGGCAAGAGGAATAAGCAATGTAGCTCACAGAACGAATCCCATCCCTTTTACCACGAGGCTGTTCTTGGAAGGCAACCATTTTTGTAGGTTGTTCCCTAGAGATGCCTCATACTGAAGTCCCTCGTAAAAAGTGTTTCAGGGTGCCTGAAACCAAGATGAAAATTGCAGTGTTATGGGGACACTTCAGTTCTTACAGTAGCCAAGTATGCCATTAGTTTAAAACAATGGGGGAATGGGGGAGGAGGGAGGAATGTTCTATGATTTATTTATTTGTTTCCAGTAGCAGTGGAAAATTTTCCTCTGAGCAAAAGAGAGGCCTGAAGCTGACCCCATCTGCCAATTATGAATCAGCATTAATAATAAGCATAATTCCATAAGAGTTTTTTCAAGTAAACATACCATGCTCCTCAACTGCATGTAGCAAAGCTAAGTGCAAATGAGACTTACAACATCATTAGTTGATCTGCATTCGTGAAATAGCAGACTAGGTATAAAGAATATATTCATATTCTAAAAGTCTTTGTAGCTTCAATCAAGAGTATTGTATTAAATCCTTTTATTTCCAAGTCGGCAGCTAGTCCAGAAAAAATCATGATTTCTTTTAGCAGCAAAACTCATGAACGGGTTTTCCTTTATTCATCATTAAGTGGTATCCTATAAGCTATACCAGCTTCTGTCCTACCTTTGACTTTTTCCTACTTTTACTCAGACAGCTCTTGGAAAATTTCCTGCAAGTTTCCAAAGAACTTAAGGCTGGTAGTCTTTAAGAATTGTGTGTCAGCTGAATTCCATAAAATAATAGACCACATAAGCACAGTGTAATTTACAGTTATATGACAGGCAGAGATGATGTTACTTGGGCCAAGGGCTTAAGTATGCAGTCAGAGCCCAGGAATGGAGAGCTGTTAATGCAGGATGTTCATCTGGATTTTAAAAATTACACCAGCAATGATTTTCAGAGCTAGGGCTATAAGTAGCTAAGATATCACTGCCTGAAAACCAGTGTCAAAATGAGGACCCCCATGTCAGGCAGGCCATCACAGGCTCACTGAGTATTAAAGCAGGGCAATTATCCCAAACCATAGTTTAAAACAGAATCCCCAAATAGTCCTTCCTCAATTTTCAAATTCACAGATGTTCTTGGTTTTATGATCCAAACCACTCTTTCTCTATAATTATTGGAATATCTGTATTTTGCTCATCTCCTCAAGGCCAGGTATACCATTCACTTTCAGAAGAAATCTAGTAATTGCTCTTCACTTGACTTCTAAAATCTGATTATCCCAAAGCATCCAGAAACTTCCTCCTGGCTGGGATTCTTTATAGCAACCTTCTTGAGCCTCTTGGAGCAAAGGAGTCTCAAGTGAAATCATCTGATGGTTGATTTGGAACCAACAGTTTCATACAACCATCCCCCTCCTTACACTCAGAAGCTATAATGGAGGCAGGTAGGTGGAGGAAGGAATAGATGTACATTGGAGGTTTTGTTATCAGTATGAACTTAAGAGTCTGTCACCTTTATACAGAGCAGTTGTTACTATAGCATCCAAGGCAGAAAGCTCCTTGGAGGGATATCTTGTTGAGGAGTACTTCCCCACAAGTTACATTTCAGTATGGGCTATGAGCATGCCTCTGAAATAGCTTGGCAAAGGGTTTTAAGGTGAGAGTGATTGGCAATAGGAGAGGGTTAAGGCGAGAAATGAGGAGGGAGGTGCCAGGGAGTGAAAATTCCTTGGCCAGCAAATAGAAACTAAGCTAGAGGTTCCTTGAAGAGGGTTAATGGAGAGGAGTCAGGAGAGGAGGGGAAAGAAGAGAGAAGGCTTCTGAGGAAACAATAGATCTAACACATTCCCTAATTATCAGACCAATGATGTCTCTTTCCATATCTAGACTTTCTAACCAGATCTAGAAAAGCAGGTTTCCTCTGCAGAGGCCTTCTCCCAAATCAGGCTTTACTACTTTGAGAACTTGAACCAAAACAAAGTTGGGTGATTCATCAGGAGGGAACGCTGCAACAAATAAAGCCAACTTTCTTCCCTCTAACACTGCTCAACAGCTAGTCAAAAATAAGGACTGCCTTGGGCAGGCTGACTAAATCTACAGATTCCCTCCCCTAACCTGTCTAGACAGTTGTTAATACCCAACCGATTGGACACCAGTGGGCTGACAGTGAAATGAAGGCTATTTCAGAAAATGAAATTCTGGCAACATTTTGGTTTAATTAGCATGCAAAATAAAAGGAGGAAAAAGATCTAGTGAGACAGGTCATGAGATAGTCTTGTCAAAGACGGAGGGAAGGATGCACTGAATAAATGCCTCACACTGAAAAACGTGAACTGTGTGTGCACTCAGAAATAAAGTCAAACATATCCGTCAGTATCTTTGGGCAGGAATGTATGTGTGGACACAGAGACACCAGAACCGGACACCGGGAGGAAAACTCACAGCCTCTAATCAGGGAAAAACAGCAACTAGTTTAACAAAGGTACAGTCAGGATCGGCTTTGCCACACAGCTCCTTATACCAAAAGCCAGACCTTGCTCACTAAAGCAGAACTGTTACATCCCAGCCTCAAGCTGGCAAATCCTGCTTTGGATCCTGGCAGAAAGAATTCAGCCGTTTATTAGCCTTAACAAGCTACTGTCACAGAGTGGAGAAGTTACATGAGCAGCCACACACCAAGACTCGCACAGTCCTTCCCAAGGGCAAGCAGGTTTCTCCAAGACGGACTGTGCAAGTTCACACTTCCGATGTGCAAATTCCGACTTTCTTCTTGGATGTTCCATGGTGCACACTGTGGAATTTTTGAAGAACACCGTCTCCCCTGCCCCCAACCCACCATCTTTCCTGCAGAATGTCCCCTCAGCAGCATCTAATCCTTGCTGAGAAAACCACTGTTTCCACAGCAGATCTAGCACTTTCCACTGAGGAGCACTTTCTTTATTCCACTTCACAAAGCTCAGTGAACTTGTCACTAGCCCCACTTCGCCCTCACTGGGATGCCTAGCCAACTTGGCATCGGTGCCCTTCAGCATCCTAGGAGTTCCTTAACTAGTCCTCTAAGACAAAGTCAGAGGCAAGGAAGCACACACCACCCTTTGTCCGAAGTTGTGCTGTCTAACTGGAGAGGGACCTCCAAACAAAAAAGAAACAAGGACACACACAGAGGGTGTTTTCTTTCTGGAGACACTGTACTTGGGGAAAGCTACAAGGCACAGTCAGCCTCGGAGAGATCCATCTTCCTGTCCTCCTCCTGGATATCCTTGAATACCTTTTGTCACTGGGCTCCTCTCCCTCCTGCCCCACGTTCTAATCTCAAAATCAAGTTCCCATTCTTTATTGACACTCGCTAATTACTGGGAAAACACTCCACTTTGCTCCGGCCCCCTCCACCCCCCATCAGACGGTCGTCAGCACCAGTTGAAAGAGCTGAACCTGGTTTAAGGAAGCAAGTAGGTAGAGCTTGTGCATGTAGGGGCGCGCTGTCCTGTCAGCGATGGCTCCTAAAGCCCCCGAATCCCTTCCCACCCGGCTCCTCTGAACCCCAGAAGTTCGGACAGGGAGCCCGACAACGTGTGCGCAAGGATGTGTGCTGGTGACTGAAACGCACGCAGCTCGGCCGGCTGCTCAGCTCGGCACACCAAGGGGTTAGCGGGTGGGTGGAGAGGTAAGCGCAGATGACTGTTTCCGAAAACATTTTAAAGAACAAACACGCCAGAAAGGGTGAAAAAATAAAACAACAAAAAATTCAACCCCGAGCCCACACCAACGCAGCCCCTGCGTCTCCGCCGCCAACACACGATTTACACAAGTAATTTAAATCATTCACCTGCTGCCAGGTCTCCTCCAGGGATGGCAAAGCTGAGAAGTAGCCGGTGTCGTGGACAAGTTGTAGCTCCTGGAATATACTATAACTAGCCAACACGTCCATGCTGCTGCTGCCGGGCAAAACGGGAGGAGAAACCCTCCCCCGAACACAGTTGGGTCTGTTTGTTTGTCAGTCTGTCTGGCTCACCCCCCAAGAAGGCAGACATCCAGTGGCCCTTTTGTTTTGTTTTGTTTCAGTCAACTAAAAAGGAAAAAAAAATCAATGCAGGAGAGAGGGAGAAAGGAGGTGAGAGAGGAAAGAGTGAGTGGGGTGGATGGAGAGAGGCATCCAGCGTGTACAAGTGCAGACGGCTGCCCGGAAAAGGGGACTTCTCCACGGGAGTAACAATTCCCTTCCAGGGCTCTAATCACTCCAGCTCGTGGATCAGGAAGGGGGATGCAAACTCACTGACACGAAGCTGCCATCTATTTCTGCAGCGCTGTTCGCTCCTAATGCAATCTTTGCTCTTTATTTTGGGAGGTTGCATTTTTTTTTCTCGCGATCGCTTCCCTCCCCCCCCTTCCCTTCCCTCGCCAACCCCCACCGCATCCTCGCTAGTTTGTAGTCTCTCCCCCCCTCCTCCTTTTCTCCTCCTCCTGCTCTTCCCCCTCCCCAAACTCCCTCCCTCCGCCCGCCTCTCCGCGCAGCCGTGGGATCTCGGAGGAGGGCGGCCATTAGACCGCGTGTGACCATGTAAGGTAAACAGGGGGCTCATGAAGTCACTGAGGACCAATGGGGAGCGCGGAGCGAGGCCTGGGGCGGGCCTTGGCCCTGGCTGCGAGCGAGGATTGGTGCGTTTCAGATCTCCCTGCTGCCTTACAAGGCGGTACGAGGCGAGCTATTTTTAGAGGGGTATATAAGGGCGCTGAGGCGGCCGCGCGGCGGCTGGTGAGCGCGAGGGCCGGGGAGGGCCGCAGCTACAGTCGCCCCGGCTCCCCGAACGCTGAGGCGGCCGGGGTCGGGCCGTGGGCCGGCTTCCGGCTGTCGCTTTGGTACCTGGCGGAGCCCCGGGCGCCCGGAGCCTGCGGACCTCGAGGGCAGGGGTCGCGTGCCGCCCTTCTGGCATTGGCGCGGCCGGCTAGGAGGTGAAAGTCCAGAGGCCGGGTTAGGATGCCTCCTGGAGGAGAGCGGGACGGGAGACCGACGGAAAAGCCGTCGGGCGGGCTGGGGTGGGGGGACACTGCCCACTCCGCCTCCCTCCTAAGCAAGGGGGCTAAGCTCGAGGGCGAGGAAGTCCTCCCGTACTAAAAAAATAGCCACAGAAAAAGGCACCAAAAGCCTCTTCGCGAATTCCCCACAGGGTGCAGAGACGGAGCGCCAGCGGAGGAAGCCCCACACAATGGAGCAGAACAAAGCGCGGCGGCACCGAGGAAGCGGCCCGTCCCCCGCCCCGCGCGCTGTCCCGCCCCGCCCCGCCCCGCGAGCGCCGGCGTGCGCGCCGTCCGCCCCCACTTTCCTTCTGACCCCGGGCGGGAGTCAGACTACCCGCTAAAGTTGACTGGGAGGGGCCGTTTCGTTTGGGTGTGTGTTACAATAGCGGGACCCCGGGTAGACGTGGGGCGTCAGCGGGAGCCGGCAGCTTGCCAGGGGGCTTAAACGGAGGCTCCCCATGTGGCTTCTGGAGAGGGGTCTGCTGAGCAGCGCTGGCGGGAGGCGGCAAGGCTGGTGTTCTAGAACAGACCTCAGAAGATACATAGAGATCCTGTTATCTTTCAGATGAAAACCCTGCTCAAAGCACGTTGTTAGGATTGCCCAGCTGTTTGCTTGGCCTTAAATAGTTAATGTGGCTCAAGCTTCCCCAGAATGTAGTGAGCTGAACTTCCACTTTTGGAATCATTGCAGAATTCATTATTTATTCAGAGATGAGAAACTTCTACTAAGGAAAGAAACAAGTCCACCTTCATGGCCCTTCTCAGTTTTTCCTCCTGACCGTGGGACTCCACATCATCGTATGTGAAAGATTCTGCTATATAGAACCAATTCAATTTGAAATTCAGTGTTTGCCAAGGGAGATTAAACAGGAATTATGGGGATTGAGGAAAGTAGTTCATTTACTTTTTGATGTCTGGAATTCTGTTGGTCACATCGACAGCGTCCGTTGTATGAGTATAGTCATGTGCTAGGGGATAAGTGGTATAAACTGGTTAAAAGTCATACATGAATAAGGTGATATTCTAACACACATGTGTTAGCACCTATGTGAGAAGGCCTCCCTTGAAAGGCCAGATGGGCCTTTTCCACAAGTAGAAAACAACTTAGAGCTATCACATCCCATTAATGCATTGACTTGATCCTTATGGGTTATTGGTGCTGCCATTTACTAGCTGTGTGACTTTGAGCAACTTACTGGTTCAGACCCTCTGTCTTCCCATTTCAAAAATAAGAAGAGTCATACCTATTTTGCCTGGTTGTTACGAAGAATCAAAATAATGTTTGTAACTCACTGAGAATAGAATCTGGTGCCATTAGGTGAATACTAAATGTTCACCATCATTATCCCCTGACTTTAGCTGAGTAAAAATAAATAATATCTGAACTAATAAGACCCATGGGGGGACATACCAGAGTTTGGGAAAAGGAGGGGAAGTAGAAGTCCCTCATCAATTTGTAATAAGGTCCCAAATGCTGTTCCTATTGTGTGTTAGGGTGGGGAGAAGGCCATTGAAAAGTACTGGGGCAGAAACACCTTCATGAGTAATAGAGGAAGGAAAGGAACTTACAATTTGGAAATTCAAAAGGCAAAAGGCAAATCAAGACCAAAATATAAAATCTGATGTTTAAGACTGGGTGAACATTATCTTTATTTTTGTTACACTATTACCATTTTTAATCAAAATATGTCATAGCCTGTTTTAAGTTTGAAAATTTTACAAATAATAGTTACTATATTAAGCATTTTCAATGTACTGGGCTGTATGGGCACATGAGCATTTTATATGCAATGTCTCATTTCATGACAACCCAAATAGGAGTTTTTATTATCTCCAATTTTATTAATGAAGACACCCAGGCTTAAAAATAGAGTTCCTCAAGGTCACACAATTAGGAAGCAGCTGAGCAGATTCAGAAGTATCTGACTGACTTTCAAGACCTATATTCTACACAGGGTTCTCTGTGCAGTGAAAGATTGTGAGTTTTTTTGTTTGTTTTGGTTTTAAGTCAAGATTTGTTTACAGAAATGTGTGAGTGTGAAAAAGGGGGCTACCAATGAGGGTTTCCCCATGCAGCTATCAGCCATCCAACTTAAAGAATAACTCAACAAAATTTTACAGTGTAAACCCTGAAAACATCATTATGACTTTTTCCCAAAGCTTTATAGAATGTAATTCAAATTTAATGCAATAAGGTGCTCCTAAAGGCACATTTTCAATATTGCATGTATTTAGCCACTTTTTATACACCCAAGGTTCACATTGCAAAACACATGCAAAGAATCTGAATGTACAAAATAATCAACAAATTAAGATCACAAGGGAATTTTGGCAGTCAAATCAGAAATAAAGAGCACTGCTCTACCTACCACATACTGAATGCCTTCTCTGTACCTGGCATTTTTACACATGTTTTCATCTGATCTTCACCACAGTCTTCTGAGGGAGCTATTATTGCTCCATTTTCACAGATACGGATACCAAAGTTCAGAGAGACCACATAATTTGCCCATTACCATATGTCTACCATAGAGGTAGAAGAAGCAGATTCAAATATCGATGTGACTCCAGGCTGACACCGAAGACTCTGTCCTGTACATGTGTTGCTTTAGGAGAGACACCAATATTACCTTTTCATGATACCACCCTTTGGAAGTGATCCTATAGGAAACACCTAAGAGTAAATAAATAATAACTCACCCCTGAAGAACAAAGAAATAAGGATATTTTATGAACAAAATAGTAAAAATTTAACATATAAATACACACAATCAAGATTATTACTACTAGAAAAATTCTGCTTCATCAGTCCAGGAAATCCTTATTAGCACTGTGTGATTAGCACTGAAGCCTCCTTAAAGTAAATCTGCTTAAAACGGACCAAATTTCAGATCAACTAGTGAAAAAAGGTTTGCTGGAGACTTTATTTGAAAATAAAACTCAGCGTTATTAAAATACATATATTCTATCTTATATTGAACAAAATTTATGTTGTAAGTACAACTATTCGCTGATTATAGAATTAGTAAGTAATAAACCAAGAAGATTACTGTTGGCTTATTTTTTTCTACAAAATGTGAAGTGCCTTACAGCATGCTTTATTTCATGTTTGACTTTTATACCATAATCAAAAAGAGGATCATTTTTGTAAACATGTTTGAGGACTGCATCAGTTTTCCCAAGGGTCTCAATTAATTATTTGATATTTAAACTATTCTCTTCTCTTTTGAAGCATCAGTATAGTCATCATTCCTGTTGATTTTACCTTCATTTGTTTAACTCTGTAGATCCTCATTTGCCAGTTGCCTTAACAAGCTCACTTTCATTGACATTGTGAAACCTTACACCTTTTGCAATTTTTGCAATAGAATTGAATGCATTTGCATTGTCTTGTAAATGTTTACCACCTTTGGGGATGTGGAGGAGATCTAAGTGTTTAAAAGAGATGTTTGAATGGGTGTCTAATTTATAAGTGACCATATCATTAATAAATACTTGCATATACTAATGACTTACTTCCTTTCACAATCTTACTGTAGTGGAGGAAAGTGTGGATTTGGGGAGAATGCTTCAGTGGTACAGAAAGCAAGTGTCAGAGAGGTAAACAAAACTATGAGAGACAAGATGTGAATCTGGAAGAAATGTTTGTGACCATACATACAATAAATGACATACATACATACATACATACATACATACATAGAACCAGAGAGTTGTTGCATGACTTAAAAAAAAAAAGAAGGCAACTTCATCAGGCTTTTCATGTCCTGGATAAAAATTTCCTCGAGAATACACATCTCTTGGGTTTCATTCTGTACTCACTTTCTGCTCTTAATTTGGCTTCCCACTTGTTCTGTTTGCAGGGAAAGAATATGCTGGTTACAACTACAGGAGCTTGGTAGTCATTGTGACAGTTCTGGTTGTTGTTAATACAAAGACATTTTCGTTATATTTGTGTTCCTTGAGAGTTTAGTTACCATGGGTCTGACTGCCCTGGGTGTGGTCAATTTTGAGACTGACATGCTGAGATTTTTGGACATGGTGGGAAAAAAAAATCGTGCATTTGGTGAATTAACCAAAAACTCTTCGCAGGTAACCTGCTGATGTCCAGAAAACATCCAATCTTGCCACTGACTCTCAAAAGTCTGTGAGTATGTTATAGTTTAATAAAAACGTTTTATTTTTAATAAACAATTTATTAAATGTATTTAATAGATTCTTAATAAAATGTTAAAGCCAACCCTGAATGTTAAAATTTGCACTGAAATGGATTTTGCAAAAGGGGCTAAAAGGGGTACTTGGGGTGTATTGCTGGTGATGGGCATGTTGCTTTGATTCAGGCAGTCTATTGCTTAACAAAAATTGACTTACCATAATGATAAAAAGGTAAGGAATTCAAGAATTCAGCAGAATTCATTCCTTCACTGTCAGGAATGTCCTGCCCAAGCCTTAGAATGTTGGACTTGAATACCATTATGACCTTTGGTGCATAACTCCTATGGAAATTGTTATATATAGTCACTTTTCCAGCTTGGACTACCAGTACTCTGACATGTCAATATCCTCTAATGAAGAAGAAAAATCAAAATCGTTGTCTAAATTCAGTCACTCAACATATATTATGCAAAACATCTGGTCATTTGACATATATTATGCAAAGTGCATAGTTTCAAAATAGAACGGTAAACACAGACCATTACCAATGTCAGATACTAGTACTGTATCTTGGAAGTTAGAAAAGGCATTTGAAGTAGTCTAACCTTAATAGACCCAACTGTTTCCCTCTAGAACATTCCTTCCAGGAGATGCCCACTCTCTCCAATGGTGGGGAAATCCCAGCAGGCACTGGGATAAACCACCATGACTGAGCCCATCTGGCTACTTTTCTCCATCTAAGAATAGCATTGTAAGCTATTCAGAGGTTTTGGACAAAGATTTTGGGAAAGAAGCCAATAGAAAAATGAGAAAATATTTTGAAATAATAAAAAGAACAATTCCTTTGGCTATGTAATGATAGATATGTCAAAACAATTGTGAAGCTACTGAAAAATTAAATTTAAGGTTTTAGGGATTATTACCCTTTACAGTGTGTAAGACAGTTAGTAGGACTGTGTTATGTTTCATCCTGAGCATTTTTTGTTGTGACATGTTGCATACTGCACAGCATTGCTATTAATGTATTCAATTACTGTCAATGTTTTATTGAATATTATCATTTTTCTTTTAAACATGTCATTTCCAAAGGGTTTGGTACACACTTAATGGGATTTAACAGCAGAATGCATCTCAGATTTTCTAATGGAAATCAATGGGAAAATAAGATTGATTTGATAGAAAGGCTCTGTGCAGCAAACTTTGCTGACAGTGACCATTCCTTTAAGTGAGAGAGATACCTATTCCACAAGTGCTCTATGATGAGTTTTTATGTGTGTGATAGATCTGGGTAGTTTGGAAGATTAATAATGTCAGCAGCAATGTTTTGCTGACTGGTTGCTCATTTGAATTTCACTGAATTTTCTTAACCGAAGGATGCTTATTTAAATGATTAGAAGAGTTAGCTGAGTCACAGCTTCTAATACTGGTTACTGCCTTTCTCAGAAGTAAGCAAGGCAAATACCCTAACCTTCCGTTTCTGCATTCTAAATGGGAGGAAAAATTCAGAAGGCTTCACAACCTTCTCCCAGCTCTCAGCTCTCCCTAAGGCTTTGCAAAGCTCAAAGACTGTTCTAAGCAAATTGGTCATGTTTTACACAGGTCATTTCATTTCAGCCTCTCTCAAGCGAGGCCCCACATATGACAAGCTCTTTTCCTCCTTTGCTTTCAGTGTTGGTCATTTGGGAAAACTTCTCTTGGTGAAGGTCAAAAGGCAACATAACTCAGAGAAGCTCACTCCCTCCACCCAATTTATCTAAATGTGAAATTCTTCCTAGCTCTTTCTCTGTGCCACACATTAACCTATCCTTTGCTTTTCTGCAATATTTATTCTTGATCTTCAAGAGATGTCTGTGTTGAAATCTTCCTGAGTGTTCTCATCCTTTCCACAATTTTATGTGCTTCATTGCCCTTTTGAGATTATACATTCTTAGGGAACATGTTGTCTGATCACTTTATAGAAAATTCAGTATCTGTTGTGGTACACATAAACTTTTTTAAAACCAACTTAAGAAGATCATACAAAATATTTTAGTGAGATTTAAAAATAATATTAGTCTTTCTCCAATATTATTTGGACACTGTATTTTTTGTGCTGGCTTCCGTTAGGTCTGGCCTAAATGGGAGGAAATTGTATTACCTCAAATGGTGTCAAATGTGATTGAAAGAAAATAGAAGATTTAAGGCTCCTAGCAAAAACCTATGTAATTAAATTGACCAAAATCTGCATAAAGTATATGAAACACATTGTCAAAGAACCCACTTCACAGAGTAATTAGAGATAACACTAAAAAAAAATAAAATCAGCTACTTCGCCGTCTTATCAGGAAACAGCTGCTGTTACATTTGTTTAAGAGACTGTAATCTTGAATATTGTAACATTTCACATAGTGATGTAATAACAGACTTTTCTGGGAACTAGTAACAATTTTAGCAAAAAGAAAACTGGAGAATAAGAATTTGTTAAATTTGAGTTTCTTTCAGACTGTCTTGGGGTAAAGGATGTCCTGATGCTAAATGATCTTTACAGATCATTTAAACCAAATAGAAAGAGAGCCACATTAGTAACTTGAAAGTAAGTATTTGGCAACCTTGAATTTCTCCTCTCTGGTCTGTCTTTACCATAGCAACCTTCTGATCTATAATTTGGTCTTCTGAGTGGACTTAACTTATACAAGATCATCATTTGTAAACACATTATTGATTTTTATTTATTTACATGCTTGTTTATTATCTTCTACCACCAGAGAGGAAGTATGAATAAAGACAATAAAAACACAGGAATGATAATACAGAAAACTATTAGTGTTAAATAAAAGATAGAAGTCTAATACCGAAGGATAAGGGAAGAAGAAATATAATAGGTATCCATTATCATTCCAGCTGTGTCCCCCATTAAACACTGATCAAGCTATGTTGTTATTTATGAATTAGTTCCTTGTAAACTTGCCTTGTGAACCCCTAGAGCACAGAATCTCACCTCTGTGAACTTAATCATTTGGCTTTTAAACTAGGAAAAATAAGTTTCATATTTTTCAGTTCTGGTGGCCCCACTAAGATGTGCCCAGGTAGTCTTGTTTAATTCCACTTAATTTCACTTACTCAGCAATTACTGAGCACTTATTCTGTCAAGCACTAGGTTGGGGGCTGGAGCTATAAGGATAAATGAGAGGTGACTTTCCTCTTCTGAAACTGAAATGTTAAAAAAAAGAGAGATTTAAATAAAAAATAACATGGGTAATATGGGAGACTTAGATTATTGGGAGAGACTCCCTCCATGTAAAAACAACCAAAATGCTAGGCCATAAGCAATGATGACCTAACAAGATAATAAGGAATTATTGGGCTAAAATCTAAATGAAAGTGAGATTCAGCATTGCTTCTGGCCGTGAGCATTCTTAAACTCAATATTCCCAGCCTTAGCTGTATATTTGCAAGAACTTAAAAAATACCATTGGGTGATACAGCTTCCAGCAAAGGTGGCCTAGCTGGTACTGGATAAATGTTCCCCTGACTACTCCCTGAGAATTTTTCAAAATTGAACAAAAGATATCAAAAGCCATGGACTACAAAGAGCTATAGATACTCAAGATGGGTAAAAACACCAAAATATTTCTAAGCAATTCACAGAAAAATTGTTGACAACCAAACAGAAAATCTGAAAAGCATTTAGATAAAAGACATTTTACTTTCAAGAATACAAAATAAGACAGAATTTATTCTCAGCAGAAACACTGGAAGCAGAAGATGATGGAATGACATAGGCAAAGTGTTGAAAGAAATAATTGCAGCTAAGATTTCCATATCTAGTGAAAGTTTTGGAAACCTTCAAAATTGTTGGGGGCAGATCCACTCTAAGTTAATACTAAGGAGACTTCTTCAGTCAGAAGGATAATGGAGATGAAGGTGTAGAGATTTGGGGTGGGAGTGAATGTAGATATTGTTTCTATAAAACAGCAATTACAAGGTCTATAAGGTTTTAGGTGATATGGAATTAAAATAGTAGGGAAGAAAATGAAGTCAAAACATTCTAATACCCTTGCATTGTCCCAGGACATGTAAAAAGTACTAATGTGTGTTAGACTTTAGCAAATCAAAGAGGAATATAATTTCTAAAGTAACCATTAAAGGAATAGTTTAAGAATATTAAATAAGATAATAAAGGGGTAGGAATAAAATTATTAATCTAGGAAAAGAGAGAAAAAGAGGTAGGATAAGTAGCACAAATAGAAAAAAATAGTGAGATGGTAGATTTAAACCCAAATATATCAGTTATTTCAATAATTGCCAACAGAGTAAAATGTCCAGTTAAAAGATATCAGAATAAATAAAAAACAAAACTCAAGTGTAATGAAATTTCCATTTTTTGTAGATCAGAAATGGTGTAATGTTGATAATTTTAAATTTCAATCTGAAATGTGTATGCAGTTTATAAGAGATACTTATTAAACATTTGTAATTAAATTGACCAAAATCTGCATAAAGTATATGAAACACATTGTCAAAGAACCCACTTCACAGAGTAATTAGAGATAACACTAAAAAAAAATAAAATTAGCTACTTCGCCCGTCTTATCAGGAAACAGCTGCTGTTACATTTGTTTAAGAGACTGTAATCTTGAATATTGTAACATTTCACATAGTGATGTAATAACAGACTTTTCTGGGAACTAGTAACAATTTTAGCAAAAAGAAAACTGGAGAATAAGAATTTGTTAAATTTGAGTTTCTTTCAGACTGTCTTGGGGTAAAGGATGTCCTGATGCTAAATGATCTTTACAGATCATTTAAACCAAATAGAAAGAGAGCCACATTAGTAACTTGAAAGTAAGTATTTGGCAACCTTGAATTTCTCCTCTCTGGTCTGTCTTTACCATAGCAACCTTCTGATCTATAATTTGGTCTTCTGAGTGGACTTAACTTATACAAGATCATCATTTGTAAACACATTATTGATTTTTATTTATTTACATGCTTGTTTATTATCTTCTACCA